CGACTGTAGATTTTGTGAATTGTACCATAATAATTGTGATTTGTACCATAGCCTACCTCATTAAATGCAGTATACAACACAGAACTAATTTGTATTATAACTTTCGTGGGACATATTTTATTAATGTTGATTGTTTTCGGCTTACTTACGTAACTGTATGACGAGGAACTCGACTAGTTTCAACAAAAGTAATTATTCAATTCGAACCAATACTTCCGAAGATGTATAAATGTGTGTTTCGGCACGAGTGGGCCGGCTCGACCGGAGTGATACCACGGCCTCACAGGAAACAGACTTGAAACAAAGCTTGCGTTGTGTTTCGTCATATGAGTGAGGTTACCGGAGGCCCAATTACTTTATAATTCCCCAGTCTCCCCAATCCCCGAATCCCACACAATCCTCAAACTCCTTATTCCCAAAAGGCCGGTAACGCACCTGTAACGGCTCTGGTGTTCCAGGTGTCCATGGGCGACGCCGATTGCTTACCATCCGGTGATTACCGGTGATTCGTCTGCCCGTTTACCGGCTTATCTCATAAAAAAGAAAAAAAAGAACGCATTTAAAAATAAACTCTTCAACTTTATAATATAAAAGTATATTGATATTATGTATGACTGCCTCGTTGGCCGAATATCCGCAAGTGCGACTGTCGGGCAAGGGGTCTCGGGTTCGATACCCCTTGCATCGCGCAAAGTCATACTGGGTTTAAAAAAAATCTCAGTCCTAACACGAAGTCTAGAATTGTGCGCGTTATATAGCAAAATGCTCACCCTCTATTACATGGGACTCATACAATAAATAGTAAAATTTGAATGTTACATTATCCAGTGGCATTAAGTTCCATAATGTGCACATCTGCTTACCCCTTCGGGGATAAAAGGCGTGATGTTATGTTATGTGTGTAATTTTATGTAGGTACATCGTTAGCTTCTCCAATATACCTAAAATATCGATTCCTTAGTCTATTCTCTATTGAGAATCTAAACGTTAATCGAGGGTATTCGATAGTTTGGCTCTATTGAGGCTATTAATAACAATTGGTTTTTACTGGCTATCTAGATAACTAGGTGCCAACTAGAGGATACTACGATATTTCGAAACAATATCAACTAAAATAGCTTTTATAGGTAGTTCAGTTGCTAATATGGCCCTTAACTTGTGTAATTCATGTTAACACAATGTTTTATTGTGTATAATTATTTTATGTTAATGACATTATAGTTACTAGTTCTAGTATTTATTATCTAACACTTTGCTTATTTCATTTAAAAACAGTAACGTAACATCACACCTTTTTATCCCCGAAGGTGAAGGCGGTGTACCTACATAACGTCACGTAATGCCACTGTACACCCACTTTTCACTATTTTAAAGCCTCACACTGGGATTTTCTCCTGTGTCGTGGGCGCGTTTACAAACATACAAGTTCACATACACATGACACCTAGACCCGGAACAACAATCTGTGGATCACACAAAGAGTGTTTGTGATATATGTTAAGAGTCCCATGAATGGGTGAGTCTTGCCAGATACCGGGCTCAATTTATTCCAGACTCCGTGGTACTTACGATACTTTGCCCGACAGCAAAGCCCGAGACAGTCAAGTCAATCAGTTTAAAAACAGTGATTGTAGAAAATAAATGACAAAGTATTCAGTTCAGATTTTCTTTAAAAAAAACAGCGTTCGCGCCTTATAGTAAGCGATGATGTGATCGACGAGGAAGGACGCCTACCTATAAGCAACCTGTTCACTCGGGACTTGAAAACCTAAGTTGTATTTTTCGAGAAACACAGATTCCGGAACAGAGTAATTTCACTCCTTAGCGGTTCGCCCAAGATAGCTTGGGCTAACTATTTCTTTCTTTGAATTGAATCATCAACCAATCAGCTACATTTTATTTAGTCGATTATATTAATCGATTATTAGGATACATTCTTTTTATTTTACAGTTAACTATTGTATTCAAATTAATTGAATAAATAAATATATACAACTTAAAACATAACTAACTAAAAACTAAAATATTTGCACGTTAAAAACCCTTTACCTTTCTTTCTCTTTTCCAGTATTAATGGCAGATTCATTAAATGCACAAGCCAACTATGTGAATGCCAGTCACCCGAGACCATGGAAGGTGCTGTACTATCCAAAGAAAACTGTATTCAAAAAAGCTGATCTCATTGATAAGGGATGCGTGGTCTTCCTGAAGATGTGTCCCAGGTTTTATAAGTAAGTTACAATATATAGTCAGACATCAGGACAGTAAAGTCAAAACCAACCTTGTGGAATACGTGGGTTTCCACTATCGTCCATAGTTTTTCGTTATTTATTTTGTATGCATCATCAACAGCGTTTGGTTAGCAGTGACCAAACGCCTCTTTTCACATGGAGAAGGTTTGAGCATTAATCACCAGGCTTGCTCAATGCGGGTTGGCAATTTTAAACTTATAATTAGAATTCGTTCGAATTCCCAGGTTTCGTCACGATGTTTTCCTTCACCATTTTGCCAATGGAGTCTAGATTCTCTAGATAAATAATCGAAGAAAGTACAAATTACTTGGAAAACGTCAAATTGGTACTTGCTGTTGGAAGGTTTCGAGCCCGCACTCTCATGCATGAGAAACGGGCGTCGAAAATTCTTAATAACGGTCTTATAATCTTTCTAGTCTTGCTAATATAATAAATAATCATAAATGTCTATTATTATAAATTGGACTCAATATTTTGCATTGGCCTGAAGATTAAGTGACTTACCGATATTACCTTTTCAAACAACATGATATACATACTTTCTAAGTTCATTGAGTCATCACAAACACATGAAAAAGGTACATCGGGAGTACCCCAGATGTATACAATATTTTTAAAAACAGAAACCGCACAATCTGTCTCGACCAAGCATACTGATTAACGCTTATTAGTTCTCTGTGTAAGAAGCCTTTGCTTAGCAGTAAGACAAGCTGGTGATGATGACTGCTATCCACACGGCACGGCCCGCTTTGGGTGATACCATATTCTTCATAAGGGTAGATTTTTTTAGTCTTCTGGTGAGTTGTGATAAAATAACGTTAATATTATAATTTCAGGCGTAATGTGGTATGCGCACGCCACTACGATGGACAATACAAAACCTTTGATAACTACTGCGAAATGGAATATGAAAATTGCAACAGTTGGAGACGTAAGTACCTCTATGAACTAACCAGCTTCTGCCGGCGACTTCGGACGCACAAATTAGTAATATCCATTATTCCCATTTTTTTGAAAATGCTTTCTTAATCCTATCCTACAATCCCCAAGGAACATATATGCCAAGTTCAAGTGGGGAGAGCCATGCTTCAGTGCAAATAGGCCAATTCGAAAGGAATGATACCACGGCCTCACAGAAAACCGACGTAAAACAACGCTTGCGTTGTGTTTAATTACCCCTTTCCCCAATCTCTCCAATTCCCGTATCTCTAACAATCCTCAAATTTCTCATCCCAAAAAAGCCGGTAAAGCACTTGTAACACTTCTAGTGTTTGGATGTCCCGTCCGATTGCTTACCATCAGGTGATCCGTCTGCTCGTTTACCGGCTTATCCGATAAAAAGTTTCAGCTTCCGAGGTCTAGTAGTTTCGACTGTGCGTTATCAGTCAGTTGTTCATTTAGTTACGAAGTTTTATATGGATTTAACTTACAGAGTGTAGAAATTATTCCCTTTCGGCTCCCTAAGTGGGATCGGTAATAGTCGTATTTTAGCAGACTAAAATATATTTGTCACGTTTAGGCCTACTGTCCAATGTCCATGACACGTCATTTGACGAACGCTTGGAACCTACGATAATAAGCAGTCTCCAAATCTTTTTTTTAAACGTTGCCCCACACTACGATTGTCTCCTGTATCGTGGATGCGTTTACAAACATACAAGTTCACATACACATGACACCCAGACCCGGAACACCAATCTGTATATCACACAAAGAGTTGCTCCATGCGGGAATCGAACCCGCAACACGTTGCGCGGCAGCCAGTTGCTCAGCCACCGCACTAACCGTACAGTCAAGTGATATGAATGAAATGAAAATGATACATGCTTGCATCTTGCCTCCTATCGTCATGTGTAGGACGTATGCATTCGTCAAATGACGCGTCATAGACACTTTCCGTCATTCTAGAGTGTCTTTATTAGATTTTTAACTTTATTATTTTGATATAAAATCTAAAATCCTCCTGATTTATTGAATGTAGTGTTATATTTATGCATATATTTTTTTCTTTCAGAATGGAGTTTGATCAAACATACGAGATGTTAATAGAATAAGCGCCGGTTTCAGCACCTCTGTATAAGTACCTGATAAACTTATGTGACAGATAGTTCATACAAATTACGTTCTTAATCCAAATTTATCTGGTAGATAGCGGCTATCCAACAGCTGTAGCCAAATGCCATTTAGCGCTTGTCTACATGTAGAATTGAAAACCAAATTATATGGAATTGACGTAAATTTTAACACTTGTCAGTGTCATCCCCATACATTTAGTATTCTACTCTCTCTGTAGACAACCGCTAAAGTGGCGTTTGGCTAAAGGCCCAGATATTGTGAAACAGGCCCCAAGTATATAATGTTCTATTTCTAATTTAAATTTAGTATAATTATTTGTAATGAAAATTGTTTTATTTTTTTCCCATAAATTCAAAATAAAATACATTTAGACGTTTATAGTTGCTGGAACATTTTTACACATCTCATACGGTCACTATATGTATACAAATTATTATCAACATCGGCCTTATTAATTTTATTTAGGGTAGACACTACTATGGACCCTAGAACAAAATGTAATTAATTGACATCAAGCCAATTTTTTTTTAAACTGTGTAGATTATGGTAAAACGTAAATCCATAGTATTGCTATGCAGTGGATTCACAGTGCCTGTTGATGTAAGTGATGTGAATGTTGGTCTAAATGCCATGTACTGTGCAGTGTTAGCAACGTGTTAGTATAATTTATTATCAAAAAATACATTTTTTCTTCATTTTCTGGTAATATAAATTGCCACCCGCATTAGTCTCTTCAGCGCCACCTGGCGGATTTTTATCTCCAACGTCACCCGGTGGATGTATGTCTCCAGCGCCACCTGGCGGATTTTTATTTCCAGCGCTACCAGGTGGATGTGTGTCAAAAGCGCTACCTGGCGGATTTTTATCTCCAAAGTCACCCGGTGGATGTATGTCTCCAGCGCCACCTGGCGGATTTTTATTTCCAGCGCTACCAGGTGGATGTGTGTCAAAAGCGCTACCTGGCGGATTTTTATTTCCAGCGCCACCTGGTGGATGTGTGTCTCCAGCGGTACCCGGTGGATGTGTGTCTCCAGCGGTACCTGGTGAATGTGTGTCTCCAGCACCACCTGGTGAATGTGTGTCTCCAGCGGTACCTGGTGAATGTGTGTCTCCAGCACCACCTGGTGAATGTGTGTCTCCAGCACCACCTGGTGAATGTGTGTCTCCAGCGGTACCTGGTGAATGTGTGTCTCCAGCACCACCTGGTGAATGTGTGTCTCCAGCGGTACCTGGTGAATGTGTGTCTCCAGCACCACCTGGTGAATGTGTGTCTCCAGCACCACCTGGTGAATGTGTGTCTCCAGCGCCACCTGGCGGACGTGTGTCTACAGCGCCGCTTGGCGGATGTGTGTCTCCTGCGCCACCTGGCGGATATGTGTCTCCAGCACTACCAGGTGAATGTGTGTCTCCAGTGCTACCTGGCGTATGTGTGTCTTTAGCGCCACCTGGCGGATGTGTGTCTTTAGCGCCACCTGGCGGATGTGTGTCTTTAGCGCCACCTGGCGGATGTGTCTCTCCTGCGCCACCTGGTCGTTGTGTGTTTCCAGTGCCATCTGGCTCCTGTAACTTTTCATCGACACTTGGTGGAGGTGATTCTTTATCAGGTGAGCCGAAAAGATTAAATCCCGGGGACGACTCAACTTCTTCCACAAACTCGACTTCACATGGGCCATCGTGAAAATATCTCCAAGTATCTAAAAATTGATTCTAAGTTACTAAAAAATCAGTAAATATAGGTATTTTTTTAAATCAGATTTTGTATCACTTGAATCCGATAACGGTCATAATTATGGTGGGTATCAGAAGTATCAGAAATCTTTTAATATAAAGTGTTGGAGTAGGTATATTGATCAGCGAAGGCTATTGTTTAGGGATACTATTTTGTTTATATAGTTCAACTTTGTTATTTATTTATGCAAAACAAACAATAATTATTCTCTCTTTCGAAGCAAAGTTTGATCAAACACACGAGGTAGTAATAGAATAAGCATATAATATTTTATGCTGTTTCTAATATGTAATTAAAGGTTAGTATAATTATTTGTGGTAAAAATAGTTTAATTTGTTAACATAAATTATAAAATATAACATCTGTTAGATGTCTAAAGTTGTTGAAACATTTTACAAATTTTATATAGTCACTACACAACATTATATATTATTATCAACATTCGCTAAATTAATTTTATTAGGCACTACTACCTTAGAACAAAATCGAAATGAAATCAATTTAAAAACTTTTTAATCTGCGATTTCTTATACGCCAGCCAAGTGTGTAGATTGTAGCATCAAGTAGGTCCATAGTGTAGCAGTGGATTGCTATTGGCTGTTGATGTCAGTGATGTGACTGTTGATCTTGAAATTAATGCCAAACACCAACAGTGTGTGTAGTATAAGCATGGTGACAATAGAATTTATTTTCAAAAAATAAATTTCTTCTTCATTTTCTGGTAATATAAATTGCCACTCGGATGTGTCTCTTCAGCGCCACCTGCCGGATGTGACTCTCCAGGGCCACCTGGCGGATGTTTGTCTCCAGAGCCACCTGGCGGATGGGTGTCTCCAGCACCACCTGGTGGATGTATGTCTCCACCACCACCTGGCGGATTTGTGTTTCCAGGGCCATCTGGCGGATGTGTTTCTCCAGCCCCACCTGGCGGATGTTTGTCTCCAGCACCACCTGGCGGGTTAGTGTCTCCAGGGCCATTTGGCAGATGTGTATTTCCAGGGCCACCTGACGGATGTGTTTCTCCAGCCTCACCTGGCGGATGTGTGTCTCCAGGGCTACCTGGCGGATGTGTGTCTTTAGCGCCACCTGGTGGATGTGTGTCTTTAGCGCCACCTGGCGGATGTGTCTCTCCTGCGCCACCTGGTCGATGTGTGTTTCCAGTGCCATCTGGCTTCTGTAACTTTTCATCGACACTTGGTGGATGTGAATCTTTATCAGGTGAGCCGAAAATATTAAATCCCGGGGACGACTCAACTTCTTCCACAAACTCGACTTCACATGGGCCATCGTGAAAATATCTCCATGTATCTAAAAATTGATTCTAAGTTACTAAAAAAACAGTAAACATAAGTATATTTTTTTAAATTAGGTTTTATATCACTTGATAAAGGTCATAATTATGGTGGGTATCAGAAGTATCAGAAATCTCTTAATATACAGTGTTGGAGTAGGTATATTGCTCAGTGAAGGCTATTGTTTAGGGATACTATTTTGTTTATATAGTTCAACTTTGTTATTTATTTATGCAAAACAAACAATAATTATTCTCTCTTTCGAAGCAAAGTTTGATCAAACACACGAGGTAGTAATATAATAATAAGCATATAATATTATATGCTGTTTCTAATATGTAATTAAAGGTTAGTATAATTATTTGTGGTAAAAGTAGTTTAATTTGTTAACATAAATTAAAAAAATAACATCTGTTAGATGTCTAAAGTTGTTGAAACATTTTACAAATTTTATATAGTCACTACACTGCATTATATTATTATTATCAATATTGGTTAAATTAATTTTATTTAGACACTACTATATACCCTAGAACAAAATCGAATTGAAATCAATTTAAAAACTTTTTAATCTGCGATTTCTTATACGCCAGCCAAGTGTGTAGATTGTAGCATCAAGTAGGTCCATAGTGTAGCAGTGGATTGCTATTGGCTGTTGATGTCAGTGATGTGACTGTTGATCTTGAAATTTATGCCATAAACCAACAGTGTGTGTAGTACAAGCATGGTGACAATAGAATTTATTTTCAAAATATAAATTTCTTCTTCATTTTCTGGTAATATAAATTGCCACTCGGATGTGTCTCTTCAGCGCCACCTGGCGGATGTGACTCTCCAGGGCCACCTGGCGGATTTTTGTCGACAGAGCCACCTGGCGGATGGGTGTCTCCAGCACCAGCTGGTGGATGTATGTCTCCACCACCACCTGGCGGATTTGTGTTTCCAGGGCCATCTGGCGGATGTGTTTCTCCAGCCCCACCTGGCGGATGTGTTTTTCCAGCCCCACCTGGCGGATGTGTGTCTCCAGGGCTACCTGGCGGATGTGTGTCTTTAGCGCCACCCGGCGGATGTGTGTCTTTAGCGCCACCCGGCGGATGTGTGTCTTTAGCGCCACCTGGTGGATGTGTCTCTCCTGCCCCACCTGGCGGATGTGTTTCTCCAGCCCCACCTGGCGAATGTGTGTCTCCAGGGCTACCTGGCGGATGTGTGTCTTTAGCGCTACCCGGCGGATGTGTGTCTTTAGCGCCACTTGGTGGATGTGTCTCTCCTGCGCCACCTGGTGGATGTGTGTCTCCAGTGGCATCTGGCTCCTGTAACTTTTCATCGACACTTGGTGGATGTGATTCTTTATTAGGAGAGCCGAAAAAAATTCCTTGGTACGCAGCTTCTTCCACAAACTCGACGTCACATGGGCCATCGTGAAAATATCTCCAAGTATCTAAAAATTGATTCTAAATTATTTAAAAAAAATTTTGAAATTATCGTTATTTTAATCAGGTTTGAGATCCCTTGTGCAAATGTCAGAATATGATGGATGTCATAAGAATCAAAGGATTATGGCAGAATGTAAGTTAAAATTATCGCAATAATAATCGTAGTAAACATCGCGATAATCGGCATTGACGTTGACGTTAGTGTAGCCCCGACAACATAACAACCCTCTTGTATTGTTTCCAAAGGAAAAAAACCCGTGCCGAAGCCGTGCTTAGGCCGTGCTGGAGTCGTTCTTGAAGTTAATGATGGCCTATTATGTAAGAATATAGTTGTATCTGTGTACTTATGTTAACCTCTCAAAGATTTTAAAGTATTACGTTATTCGATCGTAGTGAGGTCGTAGTAGCCCGAAGGCTTAAGACGCCCGCGCTTCTCATGCATGAGAGTGCTGGTCTGGAACTTACCAACGGCAAGTACTAATGTCACTTTATCCGAGTTACATGTGCTTTCTAAGATTTCTAAGCACCACTGACAAATGGTGAAGGAAAACTTCGTGAGGAAATCTAGGCTTATATTTCCTAATTATAAGTGAAATCGCCAACCTGCATTGAGCAAGCGTGGTGATTAATGCTCAAACCTTTTCGGTGCGAGCAGGTTCTTTCGTCCGCACTGGCCACTTATATTAGGCTTAAAAAAGAGACAGACCTCTGAGTTTGTTTCGGCATTTCTTCTCAGAGTAGTCAGTTAGGAAATGTCGACCTCATCGTTTGCTTGATAAAATTGACGTGTAAAAGTGCTGCCTTGTAGCCTATTTGCAGAAATAAATTCACTTTTTCACTTAGGCTTAGGCTGTGGTTGTATAATGTGGCGTTGTTTGGTATATCTCTAATTGATCCATATTCTTTTTAATTGTCCACTATGTTGTGATTAAAGCTAGATGTTATTTTTTCAGTAAAAATTGTATAATATGAATATTTGTAACATACTATTATCTCCCTTGCAGTTTTCATAAACCATTTCGCAGAATGATTTAAATGTCTTCTTTATATTAATTTCGATTGAGCAAATTTCCGTGTGATTCCTTTAAAAAACATATCGCTAAATTAGTTTTTTTGGGTTTTGGAAATGTAACTTCTAACTAAGATTTTTCGTCTATGTCATGTGTACATTTAGGAATACTTTCAACCAAAACTAAGACGTGTTAAATGATAGAAATGTGAAATTTTCAAATTTTAATAAAATTAACACAAATATAACCTAACATATTCCCCGAAGGGATAGGCAGAGGTGCACATTACGGACCTTAAAGCCACTATACAATATAACATCCACTTTTAACTATTTATATTATGAGTCCCATGTAATAGGGGGTGAACCTATTGCCATATACCGGGCACAATTCCAGTATTACTGTATGTAGTATTACTTAAAATTAGTTAAAAACCCAGTAACTTTGCCCAACCCGGGAATCGAACCAGAGACCCCTTGCGTGGCAGTCGCACTTGCAGACACTTGGCCAACGAGGCAGTCATAGGTAAAGCAAAAATTATTCTTCTGGATGTAGTTATAACGAGTATTCGAAAATTACGTCACGACACAGATGTAAATCCTAGAATAGAAAAAAAGATAAAAAATATCTTACCGCTCCCTCTCAAAGGTCATACACAAACTATAGGAATTCAAACAGTCTTCGAAAATTAGTTCTTGGTCAGATTTGTTTCTGAAAAGGTCGGCCATGTCTGGGGGTAAAGTCCTTTCATCATAACAGTAGTTTGGAGACGGCTCCCACACTACTACTGACGCTGAAATTTTAGATAGTTATTTGCAACCTGCATTTACAAGAATAATCGACTTACAGGAACGCTAGAGATATTTAAATAAACAAGCCAAAACTACCAACACTTTAACGATACTATTTTATAAACTGCATTGCATTAAAAAAACCGACTTATCCCCCTATTTTTGAAGTCGGTTTATTATTAATTTCCGCGTGATTTCACTCGCTCTGCTCGGCGCCTATTAATCGTAGCGTGATAATGTATAGCCTATAGCCTTCCTCGATAAATAGGGTGTCCAACACAGAAAGAATTTTTCAAATCGAACCAGTAATTTCGGAGATTATCGCGTTCAAACAAACAAACAAAAAAACAAACTCTTCAGCTTTATAATATTAGTATAGATAAACCTTCTCCTATGTGTAGCAAACACTTTTCTGAAAACTACATCAAAATCGGTTCAGCCGATCATGAGATAATGACGCCCTAACATACCTACAGCTCAAACTACCTCTACTAACCTCCTGTTTTGAAGTCAGTTAAAAAAAACATTAAAACAGTATCTGGTTGCTCTTTCTCTTACTCGGATTGAAATTTCATTGTGAAAATCGGGAACCTAAACTCAAAATTGAAATTGAATCTATACTAATATTATAGAGCTGAAGAGTTTGTTTCTTTGAACGCGCTAATCTCCGTAACTACTGGTCCGATTTGAAAAATTATCTCTGTGTAAGATAGCCCATTTATCGAGGAAGCTAATAGGCTATAAAAGATTATACTACGATTAATAGGCCGAGCAGAGCAAGTAAAACCGCGCAGAAGTAGCTAGTTAACAATAAGAGGGAACGCCTTTGTCAAAAAATACTCATAAAGTCACTGGTAAGGAGGATTCTATTTGCACAGGGAATTATCTACAAATTGTTGTTCTGCATCTGGGTGTGACAAACAAGAGAAAATACTGCAGTGGTACAATGTTTCAGGAAAACTTCTGAGCAACGAATGGATATAATGTGTTTTGCTATTTAAAAAAGAAGGGTCTCGGTATGACCTGTATTTATGGTACGTATATATTAGAGGTATATTAAATTAGTCGTGGTGGCTCGTAGGTTTAAAACGCCAGCTTCTCATGCATGAGGGTGCGGGTTCGAAACCTACCAACGGCAAGTACCAATGTGACTTTTTCCGAGTTATATGTACTTTCTAAGATTATTTAGACACCACTGACAAACGGTGAAGGAAAAACATCGTGAGGAAACCTCGGCTTATAATTTCTAATTATAAGTTTGAAATCGCCAACCCGCATTGAGCAAGCGTGGTGATTAATGCTCTAACCTTCTCCGTGTGAGAAGAGGCTTTGCTCAGCAGTGGGCATTTATAGGCTGTTGATGATGATGATGATATTATATTAATGTATGCATACATGTATGTAGGTATTTTTTGTAACTTTGCCCTACGCTTGGATGTTTGTCGCGGAGAACCTAACGGGTTGCCGGGGCTCCGGCTCGACATGCAGGAGAAGGAACTGGTGGTTTTTAGTCAGTAAGAGTCTGACACTCTCTCCCGCCTCAGCCAGGCGGGAGAAGCCATTCCATGATTTTCCCACCCTAAAAAAAAAAACACTTGGATTTTATCCTGTGTCGTGGGCGCGTTTATAAACATACAATCACATACACATGAGTCCACACAAAGAGTTGTGCCGTGCGGGAATCGAACCCGCGACACGTTGCGCGGCAGCCAGTTGTCCAGCCAAAGCACCAACCGTGCAGTCTGTATGTATGTATGTATGTATGCTTGTATGTTTGTGTGCTATTATCTCGCGATGGTCTGATCCGATTTCGATGCGCTTTTTAGAAGTGTTTATTATAGAGGTACTAAGGAAATGGTAGTATATTCATTAACTGACTTCAAAAAAGAGGGGGTTGTACACGTAATTTATAATAGAGTAGATGTCTAATTTTTATTTTAATATCCGTCTGGTAGATTATTTCAAATCATTATTTTGAATACTTTCGATGATATATTGATTTAATGACGATATATTGAGAAATGACGTTTTAGCCCCCACTCCTAAACTTTGATTCGTTTTATTTATTGTGTTTTTTTACTTATTAAAAAAAAACGTGTCTAATATTTTTTTAAACTTACGGACTAATTAGATTTTTAATTTTCATACCCTGTCATCATCCCAATTATTTGAAAAATATACACACATACATACCTATAACTACACAAATCAGTTTCGAAATCATATTCACATGTCGTATACGTACAATACACGAATATAAAGCTGTATACTGAATTGTAAGTATAATCGAAGACCAATCAAAAATTAATGAGTCATTAATTTCCTATAATGACGTTAGATTTTAATAGGTAGTGGAATAAATTGATTGGAATTCTAATGCCACTTGAAATGAAAAAGTAAGTAATATTAATTTGTCATATTTTTTGTGGAAAGATACAGGTACGCTACAGATCTGAGCATTACATCCACAGATATAATAAAGATTACATCAGTGAAGGAGAATAACCGAGCGTTACAACGCGCACCTTGTAATGATACAATGTGTAATATCTTGATACAACTTGTAACATCTATATCTGATATCTTGCTATGAAATGCTCAAAGTCGAATCTATATGTTACATTACAAGCAAATGCTCGTTAGTCAGGGAGGTATGGTATGTAATGCTCAGAGTCGAATTTGTAATGTCACATTATACTTACGTAAATGCTCCCGGTGAGGGAACACCTTAATGAGTTTGCACACATACTCTAACAGTATGGTCAAAAATGTTTAAAAATCGCACGTTTGTCGATTCGCAAACATGGCTGAATTGAGTATGCTAATTTTAAGCAACATTCCAATACCTAAGTGACAAGTTGCTCAATTGAAACATGTGCTTGAAATTTGCATCTGTAACATCCCCTTCGGAGAGGTGGTATTCTAGTTAAGTATGTTGTATAGTTCGATATTCTGTACGGTTTAGATTTTATATATATAGATGTGGAGAGCCATGCTTCAGCACGAATGCGCCGGCTCGACAGGAGTGATACTACGGCTTTACAGAAGACCGGCGTGTAACAACGCTTGCGTTGTGTTTTGTCGTGTGAGTGAGGTTACCGGATGCCCAATCACCCCTTTCTCAATCCCTGAATCCCGAACAATCCTCAAATTCCTAATCCCAAAAGGCTGGTAACGCACTTGTAACGCCTCTGGTGTTCGAGGTGTCCATGGGCGATGCCAATTGCTTACCATCAGGTGATCCGTCTGCAGTTTTACCGGTTTATCCCATAAACAAAAAAAAAAAGATTATAGATTCTAGAATTGTCTCTGGTGAATGATTTTACCTTTCATTAACTCTTTCAGTCACACTTTTAACTGGTTACGATTACGAATATATTTTATTTAATTATACCGAAATGCTTAAAAACAAATGCAAAGTAATTTGAAACATACTTCAAAAATTGAATTTCTAAGAAAATGTGGTTAGCTACATTGACCACCAAGACTGAAAGAGTTAAAGGTGCTGATAACATAACTAGTAAGTTAATCTACCATTAAGTATTCATACTTCATAGATTCATTTGCACTATCACTTCAAAAGAAAAAGTGACTTGGTAGCATGTCTTTTGGCAATCAGGTATTTATTATTATTTCTTTTTCCTCAACTTCTAAGTTCACTTCGTCCCCAACTTTTTATTTCAAACACCAAGACCTTTTTCTGATTGCGTTCCTCAGTTTTTTCACAAAGAATTTCCTGAGTCACGTTGAACGCCTTGTAGATATTTGTGTCACACACAGCTGACACTCAATTTCCGAAGATTACCCCAAACACAAAAGATCGTCTGTTTTTCAAAGAAATAATAGAAACGACCCAATAATATATTTATTTTCTTTAACGATTTATTATAGAAAAAGAATTCTTATAACTACACAATCGAAATAAGGCTTTGTATCAAATATTAGTACTCTACGTTTTGGGCTCATGAAAACGTATAGTGCAATATTATTTTATAAGTAAGAATAATACAGTATATCTACAGATATTTACAGGAGAAATTATCATCTAACAACTCGAACATAAAGGAACTTTGTACACCGTTAAGATTAATAAATTGACACTAGAGTTCTTAAATGCTTTGCATTTCAACACTTATAGGTTCCTGCTATTTACAACAAGCCTTTAGTCAGAAAATCTGAGAGCATTGTGACGTCTTCGTGTTCGCGGTGACAGTGTGCTCCAACTGCGCGAGTGCCGTCAGCTCAGTGTCCATCTTCCGACTCTTTATCCTCGTGTTCTTGGTCAGCTGTCTCTTTTTACAGCAACAAAGTATTTCTTCAAATTCTTTACGGAAGTTGTCGTTCAGCCACCCGTACAGTAAGGGATTCGACACTGCACTGGACATTCCGAACATATGACAGACGGCGTATGTTATTGTCATCGTTTTCTCCTCCATAAAAGGCTCGGCACTTAAGTCTGCTACGAGATTGAACACGTTTAATGGCAGCCAGCTTATGACATATGTCACGGCGATGGCTATTAGTATGGCAGGGGTTTTCCTCGTGGTCCGCCGTCTTCCTCTAAGTCTTCTATGAATTTGGACATGTGCAAGAACTACGACTAAGACGGGGAGTAGGTATTGAAAGATAAGACTGAAGCCAGAGTAGATGGCTCGTCCGTTTTTGATGTGCCAGTCTTCTATGCAGAAACTGAGAGAATCCATGCCTATAAGACCGAGGTAGTGGGTCTTAAGGCTCCGGAAGATGTAGAGAGGTGAGGCGAGGGTGAAGGCGATCACCCAGATGCAGAACATTGTGACGAGGGCGCCCATCGTCTGAAGGCCTGGTCTCGTTGGGTACACGATCAGCTGTTGACAAAAAGAAAAGTCGTTGATGACATTGGAGAAAAAGCTTTAAAACTTTACAGTCATGGATGTTAAAACCAGGTGTAATAATATTGTCTGTAGTTATTGCAGATTCCATATTGAAAAACTCTTGAATCATAACTTTTACTACCATTAAGATATATAAATCAAATGGATTTTCCCTAATCACAAAATCACAAAACCTAACATAATATGCTTTTACAATCAAACTCCTAAAGAACTCTGAAATAGAGATAAAAAAATAACGGATTATGATAATTTCAACTTAGAAACAGGATGTCCAGATATCTAAATGATATAATACATACATCTTACGACCATATTATCAGTGTTAAAAGATTGATTGTAGGCTTAACTTTTTTGATTGAGACATTATTATATCGTATTTTTGATGATAAAAATTGTATTTGACAACTTTGGTATGTCGAGTGGAGATGCGACTGTATAGGGTTCCAGTTTCGATGCAAACTACCTAATTGCACTCTCTTTGTTCCCCAAACGGTTAGATAGTCAGTGTAGCCTCTTTACATCAGTTTTGTTAGGAAATCTAGTTTATAGTTACACTATGCACTATGCACTGACTGCCTCATTGGCCGAGTGATCGCAAGTGCGACTGCCGGGCAAGGGGTCTCGGGTTCGATTCCCGGGTCGAGCGAAGTATTACTGGGTTTTAAAAAAAATCTCAGTAGTAGCACGGAGTCTGCAATTGTGCCCGGTATATGGCAATAGGCTCACCCCCTATTACATGGGACTCATAACATAAATAGTGAAAAGTGGGTGTTACATTACAGTGGCATACAGTGGCACCTCTGCCTACCCTTTCGGGGATAAAAGGCGTGATGTTATGTTATGTCTGTTATGTTATGTTAGTTACACTATATTTCGCGTTGCTTGACCTACAAATATTAATATAGCATAAATTTGAATTGAATAAATACAAAGGAATAAAAGGTATTCAAAGTCAAGAATGTCAATTTGAAAATCAAGGTCATATGAAATTAAAATTTAAATATAACATAACATCACTCCTTTTATTGAAATTATTTTCCATAGAAGGGGTAGAAAGAGGTGCACATTAAAGGCACTTAATACCACTGTACAATGTAAAGCCCACTTTTTACTATTTATGTTGTGAGTCCCATGTAATAGGGGGTGAGCCTATTGCCATATACCGGGCACAATTCCAGACATCGTGCTACCGCTGAGATTTTTTTTAAAAACCCAGTCATGCTTTGCCCAACCCGGGAATCGAACCCGAGACCCCTTGTCCAACACTCGCACTTGCGTCCGACGAGGCAGTCAAATTTAAAAACATCACAAATATATATTCACCTAAAAATGGATGAAAGAAATAAAAGACACATCAGATACAGCAATAGTTAAATTCGGGATTCCACAAGGGAGTGTTTTAGGCCCACTACTCTTCTTACTCTACATTAATGATATGCCTAAACATGTTGGACATCCTTTTGTATTATTTGCTGACGATAGTACCGTCACAATTAAATGTGAAAACTTTGACAATTATGAAGCTGACATTAATAATACTCTGATATTAATAATTGAATGGTTGACATATAATAATTTAAAAATTAACATACAAAAAACTAAAATTATACACTTTCGACAAAGAGCACAAATTAAAGACATCGACGTTAATTACCAAGGTGAACCAATTACCTCAACTGATACTACCAAATTTTTAGGTTTGAATATTGACCACAATTTTTCGTGGAAGACCCATTGCGACGAAATTTGCAGCAAAATAAATACTTCTGCCTATGCTCTGAGCAAATTAACAAAAGTAGTCAATCGTGAAGCCGGTTTGAATGCTTATCATGGATACGTCGTTTCAAAATTGAGATACGCAATAATATACTGGGGTAACTCTGTTAATAAAGATACTGTGTTTAGAGCACAGAAAAAGTGTATTCGAGCAATATGTAGTATAGATTGCACAACAAGCTGTAAACCGTATTTTAAGAGCCTCAAACTAATGACACTTCCATCACTCTATATATATGAAACATTAACTTACGTTAGAACCAACAAAGATTTATACACAGTTGCTTTCAAAAGTGACTATAGGAAATTACGGGATAAAAACAGATTAAAACTCGAGGTTCGTTATGGCAAAACAGCCCTCATGAATAAAAGTTTTCTTTGCATGGCACAACTGTTATATAATAAGCTACCAGACAATGTAAAATCACTCAATTTAAAGCAATTTAAAACGACGTTACGGAAAATTCTCATTGACAAATGTTATTATTCAACAACAGACTTTCTAATTGATAAATTTTAACATTACGTATTTTTTGACATTATTGTAACATTATGTATTTCTTGACATTGTTATTATTGTTTGTATTGAATTTGTAAACCTTAATTATTGCTTGCTATTATATTAAATCTGACAGCTTTTTCACCATATTTTGCATGCCAATAAACGGGCAAAATGTATACGGCTACTATATTATATCTGTAACAACCTATTTGTAAACACCTACATTTTATGCTAATCTACATATATAAAAGAAAGTCGTGTTAGTTACACTATTTATAACTCAAAAACGCCTCAATCGATTTAGATGAAAATTGGCAGGGAGGTAGCTTAGAACCAGGAGATGGACATAGGATACTTTTTATTCAATACTTTTTTTTTTACTTTTTACCGAAAATCACGAACGGGAACGGGAGGAAAATGGGATTGCGCGTACGAAGTCGCGGGCAGAAGCTAGTAAATGATATGATTTGATTTGTTTGATGTATTGTGTGTGTTTTGTACGTACCTACTGAATGTTACATAGGTACAAATAGGGTTTATAGAAATCTAGACAATCAAGTGCTGTTATCAATGCAGTGTTAGGACTCAGTTCATTACTTTCCTCTCATAACAGATAACATTATTGATAAAGGTTTGTTCACGAGAAATCAATATACTCGAACTGAACAGATGTTTCAGTTTGTCTAGATAATTCTGAATAATATTATGCTTCGTGTTATTATAATATTATAGTACCTATATACAATGTTCTTGTGGAATATGGGGCAAACGAGCAGACGGATCACCTGATGGTAAGCGATCAGCGCCTATGGGCTTTGAAACATGAGATAAATTTTATTATAAGTGCGTTCCTTGTTTTTGTTTTCATTCTAATGTAGACAATCTAGTTTCCTTATGGCATCGAGCATTTCTTTCTTTTTTGAAACAAAGAGTTTCCTTTTTCTTGTATAGAAGCACTAATTTTATGGATTGTCAGTATGCATATGTGAACACTATGTTAGACTATAAGATTAATTTTTTATTTTTATTATTTTACTAAGGTTTGTGATTAGTACCTATAATGCATCAAGCGTGTCTTTGCATTGTTCTCACATATACGTACAGTATTGAAATACGTATCAGAGACATTGTAGAACATATTTTTTTTAAAAGAATAACGAATGGAGTTTCTTGCTCGTTCTTCTCCATTCGAATCTACATTTTGGAATGAGCACCTAGCTTCACCTAGCTTCACTGACGGACTGACTGACAGACTATTATTTATTTTGTATTTGTTGACGTTTCAAAAGTACTTGACTTGACTCTGGCCCCTTTTGTCATCAATCGATCATTCACATCATCATCAATCGAGCCCCTAATTTACACCAACTCCAACCTAATCACCAGCTTCAGATTTTTGCCTATTGGCATGTATACATAAACTCAATAAAATATACTATAGTACCTATATATCATTTTTGTATTAATATCTGTATTTTTATTTTATTTATTTCTATATACTTTGTATTTGTGTGCCTCTTTGTCGAATAATGATGTTTTTCTTTCTTTATTTTTCCTATATAGCGATAATATACATTAAATATGTTTTTAATGGTTTAAATGTGGTCTCATACAGAACGAAAGACTTGAAGCATACATAAATATTATGTGTCTACTAAAAGGAAATGAACGTAAGAAAAATAAATCCTTTTTGCATTCAAGCCTCCACACACAACACTTCATTCAAAGAAAACAAAACTTATACCTATACGTGGCAAAAAGTGGGTCAATCTAAACCACACTAGTTAATAACTCTGCTTACCTCCTTTGGGGAAACAGCGTGATTGTATGTGGTTAATTATGAAACCGAAGCTCATATTAGGACCCTCGAGAGTCATAACTAGCACAGTCGCAATTTGACCAATGATAACTTCGTATTTACGGTAAATAGTAAACATGTTGGACTATATTGGTCTCTCATTCTGTGTTCGTTCTTTGTAAATATAGGTCAACGTATACTGGATAATGTATCATATTATTATGTACACGAAAATCATAAATAATAAACTGTCAAGTTGTAGTAAATGTGATTGTTGAACACGGGGTCTTAGGTTTGGTTGGGTGGGTTAGAAAAATGTGCTAAGAAAGTTTCCCTTAACTCATAAATAGTTCACACTCGACTTCCAATTGTGATAATGGATTTCCATACAAAGAATAGGCATACCACGTCCACTTTTCACCCCTATTTCGCTTATTATTTACCAATACAGAGTCTGACTAAACATTACATTTAAATTAATTTTATTTGGGTTGATAAACATCATCAATGTTTTCTCCTTCCTTGAGTAAAGGAGAGGAAGTATCAGACTCTTACTGACTAATAATCAATACAAATTAATCAAGCTCAAACACAAGGTAGTTAATATAAACCGCTGAGGAGTTCTCTCGAGTGTCTATCAGTTCCATCATCAGGTCGACTCCAGAACCTTATCAAATTGTAGTGTTTAAAAATCCTTTTTAAAAAACATACTAATAGACGCATTACTCGCCCCTAGAATTTTCGAAAGTTCCCCTCGGTTTCCCTATGATCCCATCATCAGATCCTGACCTCATGGAAATAGGACCATCTCGGGAGTATACCCTTTCAAACAAAACAAGAATTTTGGAAATCGGTTCACAAATGGCGGAGTGATGCGCGAACAAACAAAAAAACAATCAGCCGAACATAGTACCTCCTCCTTTTTTTGAAGTCGGTAAAAACGAGGTCCCAATAACCCGCAATTTTATCTGCAGCTCCATGTTTTAGTACATGCTCTCAACATCTACCTACCTATCCAAGAAATATCAGGCGTACATGAAGAAAATACAAGAATCAGACACATTACACACATAATGATCCTTTTGAAGTTTACTTAAATCCAATTACGTGTGTTTATTTTCCCTCGCGAGTGTTTGAAGAGTGAATGGATTACAAATAAAGTGATTTCTCTACATTTCATTACCATACATAAATACCTAGGCACATACATAGCATTAAGCATTATATTTGTTAAGA